CAGCAGATGTTTTAACAACAAGACGAAAACTAAGAACATGCAGAAGTAAGGTGGTAAACCAGTGGAACTGGTATCTGCAGTGAGCAGCACAAACATCATTTTTTAGTAGCACAGTGTTATACAAGAAAACTCGGAGGCATCCCAAAGCTTTTCCTGGAGCTTTCATAGAGGTTGAATGTTCTGCAGAGCTCTGGGTTTTTCTTGGATGCTCTGTGACCTCCTTGCCTCAGCACTTAAGTACTTTACCTCCTCAGCACTTGGAAGCAATCACATTACCCCTACCTTGGATACCGTATTTTCTTACACAGTGAGATTTGTCCTTAGAAATACTAGCATAACCCATGAACCAGTAGATGAATATCCTCAGGAGCCCCAGGTACAGAAACCCTTCTCATTTCCAAAGATCTTTAGCCTTCTGCACCTTTGACTTGATCTTCCCAGCAGCATTTCATAGGCCTCCCAAGAGTTCTGTCTTCATAGAAGATGAGTCATCTTCCTGATCTGTCTGCCCTAGATCTATGCACCAAGATCGTTAGGTCCTGTATTTCACAGCCCTGCATCTGTGCAGTCAGACTACAGACTGAAGAAGCTGAGTACTCAGCTCCATCTGGTTCTGCATCCCTCTCCTGCAAGGGCTCTCGTGGCCATATCTTCTTTCTTGAGTTGGCCCCAGACACTATCCCAGGTCTGAATGGTAGGCACCACATGTCTCACAGCCTCACATGCAGTAGCTCTCATAGCATAAAGGAGATGGTTTACAAAATCTGGGAGAAACCGAATTAGCATAGCCATTCATGGTATGCACCAGTGCTTCATATATAAAACAATTAATTTTACTAATGCAAAATATGATAGGAGATTTGCTTTAGCAGGAAGATTGGACTCAATCTCCAGAAGTCCCTTCCAACACCTGCAATTCTGTGATTTTGTGAAATCCTTCATCTCGACCATTTCAGCTGCAAAAGTGCAATTGTTAGCTGGCAGTATTCAATATTCCTTTTTTTAGGAGAGCCACTACCCACCAACACGAAATAGCTTTTTAACCCAGGAAGTATTTTAACTACTCCATAAATCTGGTTTTATGCATACTGTTCCATTGCCAGGCCAGCACAGATATCATATTCTAATGGGATGCAGCCTAGAGCTTTAGTTAACCTCTGGGAATGTCAGGTATCTCTTATGTTCAGCTTTTAAGGTGATAATCCTACCAGCATTATTTACAGAACGATTCATTTTGGAAGGACTCAGTCTGAAAGACTGCAAACCATCCATCTCCCTTCAGTTCTCAACTACGGTTAATGCACCCAGATCCCTCCAGGTGCAGCAGGGCTCTGCTCCATCCTCCCACAGCTCCTGGTGCTGCTCTTCTGCTTCTCCAGATCCGTCGCTCTGCACTGCAGCGTGCAGTTTGTGATGGTGGTCTTGCTGCCTGACATCCAAATGCCAGCTCACAGAAGGCAGTCCCATGCGTGGCAGCAATACTCAGTTCTTGTGCAGTGCATGGAAGTGCACTACTGGTTGAGCAGTCCTTACATTCAGGAGCAATGATCCTTCTGGAATAAAGAGTGATTTCTTCGTCTCCCAGGCCTTTAGAAGGGAAGTATGGCTGAGAAAGAGATGAATAAAGAGGGATATCTTCTGTATCCTTAACTGTCTTTTTAGTTTGTTCAGTGCATTATCAGAGTGGGAATTTCTTGCTTCATGCAGAGGATGAAAGCTTCTCTCTAGATGAAGACAAACTCTGATCCTTTGATTTCTTACAGCAATAGATAGATACCTGATTTTGGAGGGCTCTTGTAATGTTAGCTGAGCTGAGTGCCAAGAAAGCTCATACCACCACTTGGAGATGGATCTGCAGTCATTGCATTTATTTATTTTAAACATAGTAGCATCACCAGCAGATCTCCAGGTCACTACACACATTTTGCCCAAGGTGTGCTTTGTGGTGGTTATTCACCTTAAGTACCGGCTAGGCTTAGAGTAAAAAAAACTCAGTGGAGTTTACACAGAAATGCAGTCTCTGCGTATCTAGAAATTCCTGTAATTTGGACAGCTTTATCTTCTGAGTGAAAACCAGCCTTTATATTTGCTATTAGTGATACCAACACTAAGTAACTGTCTCCCACAATCACCAGTTTAAAAAATAAATCCACTCCTGAATCTCCAGATTGTGATTCTTCAAATGCGGATTTGTTTAGAGTCAGGTTTTCAGGGATTTCTCTAAGTCCTAGGCATTAGGATCCTGTTATCTGTTTTTGGAAAGATCTGTTTTTGTTATAGAACTCATCAGGTCTGAGAAACACAGAAGAAACAGCATGAGAAACAGGAAAGAAAAATCTAAAAAGACAATTACTAAGGCAAGACTCACACAAAGACTGCCATTTACCTGTACTCTTAGCATACAGATACTTTGGTTTCCGTCTTTTCACAGAATCTTCCCAGAGATGACTACTGAAAGTAAGAAAGCAACAGTGACACCACAATGAAAGCCGAAGAGCCTTGTTTCAATCCTGAAGTTTTTATCTTCCACTGAAGCAAGTAGCCCTCAGGAGCCTTAGTGGATTAGGCAGCAAGGGTAGCGCAGGTAGTCCATTATCTGCTTTTGGCAGCATTTTGCTTTGTTAGTCCGCTGCTCAGTATAGCTGAAAGTAAGCCTTTTCCTCATGTGAATAAGCAGCAGTAAGAAGAAAGCAGAAGTGACAAGAGGCATACAGGATTAGAATACTATTAAGATTTATCCTTCATAAAAAGAGTCAAGAGTCACCAAATACAGACTTGCAGACACATAATTATTCTTAAGAAAAAACATAGAATGCTGGAAGCAGGAAGAGCACTGTGTTCACTGTGTGCACTGCACAACTTTCCTATACAGACTTTTCCAGACTTCCCACCAGACATATGGTGTTGCTGGAGACAGGATATTAAGCCAGATGGACTTCTGGTCTAATCCATGTTCCTCTGTTGTTATTATTTGTGGTGAAATTTGACAATATGCCCAACATAGAGCAAAGCACAGAAAGTCCTACATAAAACTGTTGGGACAGAAAATTAAATTGAGATAGGCTCAATTATTTTCTCTGTTCCTGTCTTTCCCATGGAGTCTAGAATTGTTTTGCTGGTGACAGAGCAAGATGCTTTCCAGTGAGCTCAGGCATCAGCCGTCTCTGTCTTCAGATCAGTTGTTGCACTACAGTTGCCATTACTGGGTGGACCACAAATGTCACAGCAAACACCTAAGCTGCCTTGGAAGGTTAATATAGGTCAGAGTCTAGACCTTGTGATGTTGTTTCTTTCTTCACTGAAACTGACAACAAATAAAACCTGAAGAACTGACATTTACTGTGGTGATTACTTCCTAGGACAGCGTAAGTACATAGAGCCTGTCCAAGTTCATTCTTTATGGAAGTTATCCTTGATGTGTGGAAGCTAGACTAGACCTAGATGGACAACATTGTGCTGGAAAGCTCCATGATGTATTGTCACAAAACCACTCTCTGTTATTTATGTCTTCTGGCACTTAAATGCTGCTTCCACACTTACAGGCAAGAACATTTCCCTCTGCGCCCACAGACCTTCTGGCACAGTGTGCTTGGTGGCCAGCTCCTGATGGAGGCAGTCCTTGCGTTGTGCATCCTCATGTCATCCAGGCCAGGACAACTCAAAAAACATGTTCAGACTCACTCCATGCCCACAGATTTGCAGGGCTTATTTCTGGGTTGCGACACAAGAGCCAGGTCAGCAGAGCACAGTGTGGAAAAAGCACCTGCCCACTTTCCAGAAATAAACTACAGGTTCCACAATAATCAGAATACCATTGAAATACCCTTCCTATTCCTTTCAGACTGAACTAGATGTTGATGAGTTTACATCATACGTGTTATTTTTCTAAAAGCCAGGAATAGTCTTTTATCCACAGTGTCATTGAAGAGTGGGCAAAGTCTTCTGTACAACTTTGTGTTGCTCTGCACTCTCTTTTGCATAGATGATAATGCAGGGAGACAGATGGATTGGCAGAATGCCTCTCTGCTTGCTCTTTGCAAAGCAGAGCATGGCCATGGTGAGATCATCATTACAGACTGCTGTGGAGACCTTCAGCTTCCTAGGAAGCAAGCAGAACCCATCTTCTTCAGCCTTAGCTTTACTGAGCTCTGAAATCTTGACTTTTCAAAGGCAGGCACGTTGCTGAAGGCCTTCCAATTAGCCTGCTCTTGGCAACATGCAGCTATCTTGGGGCAGTGTTTGACTTACTAGAGGGCACTGCCTGAACCATTAAAATTTCATTTTCAGGTGTATTAAGTGCTCCCAAGACAAAGAGGATACTGTAGAAACACAGGTCTCTGAAATTTACGAACATCTAAGCAATTCCAGACTTTAATGCAGATGGTATTAAACTGCTTGCCAGTTGTGAAAAGGATGCACAACTGTGTCTACTTTCTGTACAAAAATTGTATGTATAACTGGCTGTACTGTGGGTGTTCTTCTCCTTTCAGCCAAGGAAGACTTAATGTCCACAACTATTCAGTCTCAGTTTCTCTGCAGAGAATGATAATGAAGACAGAAGTGGTCTGGGACTTGATTTCCCAGTTTCTAGAAATGAAAAGGTGGTGTTACCCTTCTGCAGAAGAGTAAACTTCAGTATTATTCCATAACACAGACTCTGCTGTCTAACCAGAGCTTCAGGAAGTGGGTCCTAGCATGTATGGAAGGTTGTCCTGATACTTGCTGAAACTTTGACTGACAAATTATACCACACTTAGATTGTGGGGTCCTAAGTGTCTCAAGGGAAATATATTTCATGGTGTGAAGAAAATCCTGAGTACATAAACAGGCTGATGAGTGATCTGGTAAGTCTGTGTGTACTTCAGTGAAATGACAAGCTGGCTGTAGGAAAAGATTTGATACAGGCCTATGAGCACTGAGAATTTCTGACAAACGTTCACAAATGAGACCAAGTTACCCTGTGTGAATGATGCTGCTAATCTGTCATTTCACCTCCTTAGCTCCATCACCCGTCCCAAGGGTTTCGCTTTGGAACTGTGCGAGAAAGCAGCGCAGAAGACTACGTGAGGCAAAGCTTCCCCGAGATGCACGAGTACATGCGGCGGTACAATGTCCCTGCAACCCCAGATGGAGTAGCATATCTAAAGTGAGCCTCTGCATGCAACAGCACATCTGGTCCATCGGCCAGAACACGCGGCAGTGAGGTGGTGATGAGCTTCCCACTTTCACTTCTGCAAGCATGTGGTCACCTACATGGAGGGGTACTTGGAAAGCACAGGAAGTGGTATATTGCGTTAACTGCTAGGCTGCCATCAAGCATAGGCAGTGTTTAAATTCTGGCAATCTTCTGTGCATGGGAGACCTTTACCAGGCAGTGATAAACGCTCAGAAAAAAACATTGCTGTCCAGGTAAAAGTTGAGAATGAAGATCCTTAGCATCTTCAGCATGCTAGTAGGAGAGTTTGTCAGGGAGAACCCTTAGAGCGTTTGTCATTAAAATGAATAAAAGTATTAGACATGTAAAAAGTAACTGAAACTTGCTTTAGGGAATCATGTCTTTATGTTTCAAAGGACAGTTGTGGCTATCAATCTGGAATCATACAATTGATTCTTTCTGCTAGGACACTGCAGAAGTGATGACACACCTGAAATACTGCATTTTACGCACAGAAGTTGCATAATGGATGGACTCAGGAATTTCCACAAGAAGTTGCTTCTTTTTTACACATTTTTCCCAGAGCCATCCTAATGATAAAATAAAGGCAGTCCTTTGCTTGAGTTAAGCTGGAATCATTCTGTAAGATCAAAAAAGTAATGTAACTTTTTGTCAGGAGAACATCCTGACCCTTACAAGGATGAAGATGGAAGGTGCAGCCCTTTGGTCACATGAAAGCACGCAGTGCAACTGTTCTTTTGTACCATCAGCTTTTGTAGGTGTGCTATTCACTAATTATTAGGTTAGTAAAATTGAATCCTCTGCGTTCACAAAGGCTTAGCACAGAGAAGAGCTGATCTGAGAGAAGGAAATTAATTTACCACATGCTCAGGAGAAAGGAAGAGGAACACTTTTGTATGAGTTATCCTCTTGCATTTTTGCTCTAATGATCTCAATTTCGACATCACAAAGAAAACCAAGACAGCACAAGTGTATTAACAATTTTGTTCTTCTCCTCCAATAATGTTGTGTGCTGCTTTTCAGCTGAGCCAAAGTCTGGCTTGTAGTCTTTTCCATTTTTCAGATCAGGTATTTCATGAGAGTGAAGTAAGCCCTAGCCCTGCTGCCCTGCTTTGGGTGCACAAAGGTTGTGTCTTTCATGCAGTTCCCTCCTTCAAAATGTCTATCAGTTTAGCATTTAAAGTACAAGTTCCTGATTCCCTTTGCTATGCCTCCAGAGAACCAGACAGATAAATGTTCAGTGCGCACCTCTGTCTTGGACTGTGAAGTGTTTCTGTTTGTGACTTTGATGCTGAATGCAGGAATGACCCAGAGAAACTTGATGCCTTCATTATGGATAAAGCTCTCTTGGACTACGAAGTATCCATAGATGCCGACTGCAAGCTTCTAACTGTGGGAAAGCCCTTTGCCATTGAAGGTAATAATGAATTTTACAGCATGGTGCTTTATTTCACATATGTTGCATTTGCTATATTGTAATTTGGTATTCTGATTGAAACTGCTTATGTGAAACTGAGGACCCCTTTAAGCTAATGGGTAGCATTCTGAGTGACTAAGCAGAGCCAAGGCTTTGCCCTTTTTTGTGTATTTTTTGAGCTTTCAGATCACTCACACCATCTGTTGCCATACTCTGTATAGGAATTATTCAGTACTCATGTGGTCTGTCTCCAGCAGGCAGGAGGCACAGCCCATCCCACTGCTCGCACTGAAATAAAGCTGCTCCTGAGATAAGGCTTGCTTCTCTAGGCTCGCTTTTCAGAATTCAGTGAAGTGTATTCAGAATGCCGTTCCACAATTTCACCATTGCCTTTCTAAAGGCCAGGTGGGATCCCTGCTGGATCTGTTGCTAAGTGCATCCAAATTGCAGAGCCTTACTGGTCCTGCAGCCCTGCTGTATTCAGAGGGGCAGAGTAGAAGGCAGCATGGAAGCAAAGCTGGTCAGGAGCCACATGCAGCATGAGCAAACACTTAGCACTGTTAATCTTCAGGAATCACTTTTGCAATAGATGGGCAGTGAAAGCGATTGAAGTTCCTCCTTCCCTCCCTCCAAGAGCAATTGCTTTGGCTGGCTGTTCCAATTGCACATTAAAACAATCTCCTAAAGAACTGCTGCAGCTGAAAGAGGAAGGCAAAAGGAAGGAAGACTGGTGGAAGCCGAGAGATAAATTAATTTTAGCTACAAGCCAGCAGCTCAAGAGATTTTCTAGAATGTTTAATTTCACTCTGTCAGTGTTTCCTGTTTGAATTCGCACCAGAGACTTGAAAGCAATACGTTTTCTTCCTGTCTTTGTGTTACTGAGGAGGACAGATGCTCAGAGCCCAGGCTGTAGCAGGATGTGTGCGCAGCAGCATGTTCCACCATGCACGTGTAGTTATGTAAGTCTCAGGTCAGCTCTACTGAAGGAAACCACCAGCTTTCACAACTTTGAGTCAGTTACAGAAGGCAGAAAAAAAAGCAACCCTCAAATATACATTTTAAAAGAGCTGGTCTTTTATAGCACCCGACTGAGAAACTGTTAAAAGTGCCGAAAATGTATTAACGAGCCCTGGTTGTGCTTTCTCTGAAACGATTTCTTCATTGTTAGCAGATATATTCAGCTACAAATATAGGCACAATATACACCCTTCTCTAAAGCAGCAGGCCACATTTATAGTTCCTGAACCCTGCTGCACTTAGTCCTGTACCAGCACCCTGAAGTGGCCAAACAACAAATAATAATTAAATTCTGTCCAGAGCAGAACAGCAATAAAGGAAAGCCCCAGCCCCTGGGGCTTAAATTTTGGTGAAGAGAATACAGACTACTCCCATGGGCATGTGTGCAGCTTCTCATCAAAAAATACACAGGAAGAAAAAATGTCACATCTGACACCACAGTCACATCCACCGCTCTAACAGTGTAAAGGGATACATAGTCATTTACTTGGCATTAAGGCTCCTCTGCAATGTAAACCAGAAGAACCTATGGTAAAAGCAGTGTGAAGGCTGTGCTTCTGGACACGACAGATTTATTCATCTGTCTGTACTGACATCTTAGGTTTTTTGAATCTCCATTTTTACATACTACTTATGTGACTGTAATCATTTTGAAGCTACATATCCTGTTTGTATTAAGCTACTTGCACACGAAGAAGTCTCATCTCAGCATTTTCAGTCCATGGAAAGCATCCAGGTTTGAACACCAGCCTGCTCTGCCGTGCTGGCAGTTGATAGTATAAAACAATGCACTTCAGCAAAAAAAGCCAGTAAGAGAGATGACTGTTGTTTTTCCTTCCAGGATATGGCATTGGTCTTCCCCCCAACTCTCCACTCACCTCCAACATCTCCGAGCTGATAAGCCAGTACAAATCCCATGGCTTCATGGATGTTCTGCATGACAAGTGGTACAAAGTTGTTCCGTGTGGGAAAAGAAGCTTTGCTGTCACAGAGGTAAATGATGAATGATGTGTGACCTAATTGAAAGTGCTGAGGTTGCGCCCAACTTGCCAATTACTTCTCTTCATTCTCCACATGACACAGACATAGAGATGGCATGCAGCTGCAGAGAAGCATTAAGCATTAGAAGCAGGAGGCGTTACTCTCAAAAGCATTGAGGTCAGAGCACAAGGAAAACATCAGCAAGGCGGTGCTGCTATGTTAGGCTTGCAGAGCACGCGTCAGAGAGCACATCTGGGGACAAACAGGATATGTAATGTTGTGTTAGAAAATGTGATCTGCTTGCTGTACAACAGATCTGTCTGATTCCACTCCATTATGTGCATCACCGCTGCCATGGATTCTGGACCATCTCACTCTGCAGTGGTGGCTGCATACACAAATAATGACAGGAGTGAAAGAAGCAGAGACAGCGGGAATTTAATACACCCCAAGTTACTGATGTAACCCTAGCCACTTCCTAGCATAGGTAGCAGGCTGTTATACCAAAAACAGTTCATAAAAGAAATGGCCCACCAAAAGACAGTGCTGAGTACTGACAAGAACAAGAAGCAGTTCTCATGTCGAAGTACAGTTACAGGAAATGGAAGCAAATCCTCATGGATTTACAGACTGGTATTAAATCAGAGGAGTTATGCCAGCTTGTGGCAGCTGAAGATATAGGCATTATTTATGAGAAAAAAGACTGCTCTTATCGGAATAGCAGTTTTTCTCAAGTTCTCAAGACTGTCAAGTAAAAAAGATAAAGTACTGAGAAATCAAAAGATCCAGCATGCCTGCCGCTCAGAACATAGATTTTTAACTCAGAGGTGTTCCAAAAGACATCAGTTACGTGTTCTCACAAAGCACATGGCTAGAGTTTGTTGTCTCCTCTTCAGAGCAGGTTTAGCCGAGTGTTAAACCAACCCTCCTGTTGTCCAGGGATGTAGTAGCATGGCCAGTTTCTCCTGTAAAGGAAGTACAGGCTCCTAGAGCTCTGACTCCTGCTCTTCAGTGGTCATCTGAAAATCCAGTTTATTTTTATTCAACCTACTCAATTTTTTGTGATTGCTTCAATATACATAGACACACAAAAGTATAGTTAAATGTGCATTCACTGCTATTTTTGATCTGGGTTATCTAAAGATTATATGATCTAACAAGACAGTTGTTGGAGGAATTTGCTTTTAATGGAGCTTACAAATTTGTTCCTGACAAGCACTTCATTCAGTGGCCTTTTTTAATTCTGCACTTTAACACAGTCTTTTGAATTACATCACATGAAAATTACCAGATGATAATTATATTAATTACCCTAACTGTCTTAAAGCTGGAGAAACAGACTTACTTTGTTATTAATTCCCAGTGAAGCAATTAAATACTTTTATTAAGTGTTTGCATTTTAAAAGAGGGCAGAGAGGTCAAAAATTGGCCAGAAAACTATCTTTTGGAACAATCTAAAGTCAGAGCAAGGCAAAGCCCCATGTCTTCTGAATTAAAAGTGACCCTGCACTAAGTGTGAAAACGTAACATGAGCCTCTGTGGTTCAGAGGCTTTAACCACATTGGAAGGCAGCTTTACCATGTTATTGTCACTTACATCAGCATGTGACACCTTTACCCAAAAGCCTAACTGCAGCAGCCCCAAAAGATGCTGTCAGAAGTTCCAGTTAAATGTGTCATGTGTGTTAAGTGCTTAAGATTCTATTAGTGAGAGCTCAACAGTCACACAGACAAAAGACATGAAGGGAATGCTCCGTGTCCAAGCCTGTATCTTTCCCTAGCTTCTTCCCTTCTAGATACCAACAAAGTCTCGAGATGATTCAGACTCCACCTTCCTCCACTGTGAACATTTTGATACATTTGAATCTTCTGCTTCCTTTCCTTGTTCTTCCCTTCCCTTCTTATACTAGTATTTGCACCAGGGAAATGCTGATCTATCCATCTCCTCTGATGCCAGACCCTAGAATTAGAACAGAATTTGTTACTTTTGTAATAAGAACAAGCTTTTTATTGCCCAGAAAGCAGTAGCTGGTAACCTTTACTGTTCCCACTGATGGCTGATCAGTAGCAGTACCACATGAATACCCCTTATGTAAAATTGCAATGCTCTAGCTTCAAACATATTTCTTTGTGTGCCTCTACCTGGAGCACAGCATTGTGTGGAAGGATACACCTGGACCTAATAATTGCGGCATTTTCAGTTTACTTGTAATACATTTAGACATTCCTCAGTCTGCTGTTCCTCTCCCATTGCCATGTCAGCATGAATCAGAACAGCTAGTCAAGAAAAGGATGAACCAAGGTGGGACTGTAAATTCCTTCTTCCTATGGAACTTTTGGGAACTGGCAGCTTTGCAGCTTCCTGCTCATGGGAGTGGAACAGCTTGAGCACTGAGCAGTTGTTACCACAGGCAGTGAATAACCTGAACAGGAAAGCTGCACATCAGTTAGCAGTGGTATTTACTGTTAGGACCAATTAGCAGTGATCAAGGTAGAGTGCTCAGGAGGTGAGTTGGCACTGAGAGGTTTCTCAGGAAAGTATGAAAGAGAACGGCCCGTTATGGTCCAGGGGATGGTCAGCTGCTGGAGGCAGCTAGCTATATATACAGACTTCTTAATAGCTATTATGGGACATTTTCAAAAATGTTATTATTTAAATTTTAACTTCCATTTAATTGGAAAGGTTGATTATTCTCCATTCATAAGTGTAATATAACTGAAGCTCTGGAGCTTGAAGACTGACTGGCACATGGACTGGCAATTCAGTCCTAACAAATAATAGAAGGAACAAGAAGTCACGCTATCCTGTATTGCATGCAGTGACAGCATGGTTCCTTCATCCTTTCTCATCAGTGGTGGAATCCACCAATGGCTGTTTTCTGGAATCTTGGAAGAAATTGCCAAAACTTGGTTTGCTGTGTCTGGTGCCTGCACTGGTGATCCTTGGCCTCAGTATTGCACAGGATACATCATCAGACAGTGCCTTGTTCATCCTGCCGTAATTTTATCCCATTGTCATCTGGCAATCAGTCTTTGTGCTCTAAGTTTGACCAGTGTCCTCAAGGATTCCATTTTGTTGTCACTTTACAACAGCTGGGTTTCTCCCCATCTCCCTGAAGCTCTGGTTTACTTGCTTGTCACTGGTGCACTGCAAATGTCAGGGAGGCCCCCCACAAGAAGAAAAGCAGTGCTTGTGTTTATTTGGCTAATCAAGAAAAGCCTCCATCAGTCACATGTGGTTATATCAGTCCATGTAAAACTATACAAAGAGTGGGAACAAAGTTACTGCTGTCAGGATTTCCTCAGCCTGCACGTATACTGTGTGGGAGGAGAGCTGGCCCTTGCTCACTGCAGGACTGGAAACTTGACAAAGGTTGTCATAAAACCACAGACACTACATTGCAAAGGGGTTGTATCTTTGTGGGATGATCTAATGACGTCTGCACGTGCTCAAGGAAGAAAACTGCTTTCCACATGGTCCTTGGGAAACAAGTATGTGAGTATTGAGTCGTGCAGCACAGTACGGAAAAGTGTTTTTGAGCTCCTTAGAAAATGAATATCAGATTTAGATTCACCTGTCCAAATGGAGAAAAGAGTTGTGTATGTTAGGAGGCAGAATTATTACTCCCAATTCATCAGCCTGTAATGTCACAGAAACAGACAGCCCACTGCCTAATTCTGATGGTATTTGTGTTGTTGTTCTTCCTACTGCTGACAGGAGTTGAGTAATGTATGAGTTAAATGAAAAGGATTGATTACAGAAGAGAGTTTTATCCAGTTCTGTGCAGAACTTTTCTCAGGAGGGGAAAGGAACTTGTAATGTGAGACGAAGTTATTTACAGTATCTTAAAATTTGACACTTGACACCCTGAAGCTATAGTCACCAGTCTTTGCCATGGACAATCCTCTAAAGAGATTAAATATATATTAATTCAATGCTGCCACTTCTTTGAAAGCACACAAAGCCATAAGAATAATAAATGAATGAAGAATGAATGAATGGATGAATGGATGGATGGGTGAATGCCTGTCTGCAGCTACAAGAAATACTACAATGTGGGAACAGGGACAGCTTTTAATACTGTCTGCTTACCTAAATATAAGCATCAGTGTCAGCAGGATTTTGGAAATCTACAGAGGTGCCTGAATGTCTTTAAAAATCTGCTCTTTATATCCATTTATTCCTAGTAAAGCTGGAATTAATTCTTTCTTCAGAGGAATTTTACAAAGGTGCTGTAAAATCTAACTGCCTGATCTCACTAAAGCTTTCTAAAATCTTTGAGGGAAAAACACTATCAGAAAGAGTAGCTTATTTTACTATTATAGCTAATACAAACATAACATCTCTACTTAGTGTTGTGTTCAGCACTGTATAGCATTAATAGCTGTGCTGTGCTGTCAACCTGCAGGGAATCCACAGTGATATTTAGAAGCTTTTAACTAGTCAAACCTCTAGACCTCAAATTATTTGACAGCCTATTCACTGCTCTCAGTACAACGAAGGAGAGAAAATTATTTGTTGTCTCTTGTAACGGGGGTAAAGCAGGAGTTTTGCACATTAAATCCAGTAATGAAACACTGTGTGCTGTTTTTGCTTTCCCCTACAAGCAGAAGACAAGTATTGAGCTTTCTGCATCACCTCCCTTCTCCTCAGTACCCAAAGAAAAAAGGAGACAACTCTGAAGAGGCAGCGCAGACTATTTAGGTAGCAATTGGAGATGTGGGTCAGTGAATAAGAAATGTGTCTCTGAGGATATATAAAAAGGCAGATACCTTCACAACCATTCTTGTATTTGTTGGTTTGCACAAATTGCCAATTTCCCCATGTGTAAGCAGCAGATGACTTAGAGGCTGTTGCCAGCATGTCCTCACCACCCATCACATGCAATTATCACAGGACTGCCTTTAGTTGCTTATTGCTTCAGAGCCACCACACAGGCGTAATTGAGTTGCTTCTGAAAGACAGGGAGCTACCTTCTCAATTTATGGTTACAGACGTGGAGTGAGAACTGTTCTTTCACCTTCAGTTAATAGAGAATACAGCACATTATGAGCTTTTATTGTTAAAAAGTTCTGCAGTATAGAAAGTATTTGCTGTTTTTATGTTGTCAGCAAAGGACTTAGGCACCTGACCACTTCAGCAGAGAGGAATGCAATCGTATACAGAGAATGCAGTGAATTGCTGCTCTTTCCAAATATAATCTATATACACCACAAATGTAAAAGAACTACACAGAGAAGTATTGGAGCTTGCTGCTTTCATATTGATCAGCATGATGCTATGAAAAGGAGGGGCACCCCTACCAGGTGATTTCATCTATTATTTAACATATGTGTGCTTCTTGAATAACTGTGAAGAGCTGATAAATTGCCTTTTTACAAGGGTATGTAAGTCTGCTGACTTCAGTGTAGATCCTCACTCAGACTGTCAGGCACACTGTGTTATTTCTCCTCTAACTCTTTGCATGCGATTTATTCTCAAGATTTCCCTCTGATGTTTATCAGGCAGCTCTTTCAGAGTGTTATCTTTTTTATTGCTAGATGAAATACTATTGAAGCCTTGTTTCAGCACTGCCCTTCCCAGTGAAAGATGTCTTGTTTGGGACAATTTCAGCAGCTATCCATTACAAGTGAAAAACACATCTGGGATGCCGGGGTTGGAATTTCTTTCTCCTGTTTCCAAGGAAGGTAGAAAACTATTCTGCAGAGCTGACAGGACAGTGAGTCAGAACCTCATCAGCATAAATCAGCACACTTTACTGTAGACAACAGAGTTGTTTTTTATGTGAAGAGCTGGCCAACTGTTCTTTTTGCAGCTAGTGCTATAATGGCATCAATCACCAAGCTCAAGCTGGAGATGTCTGAGGTGTGCAGGAATCCCCACTGCAGTTGCCATGGTCTATTGCCAGTGCAGCATAGAAGTGTTCATACTACTGAAGCTCTGTTCTTGTTAAAGAAATGTGTTACACTGCTTCCTTTCGTTGTGTTCTAAAGAACAGAAACCAAGCATAGAAACCAAGCATAGAACCCAGAAGAGAGAAATAATGCTGTCAGAAACTCAGTTAAAAAAAAAAAAAAAAAGATTGCTGAGCCTTCAATTTCAGTGAATTCATCACAAATTAGCTCTTTAGCTTAAAATAACCTCTTAACAAGATTTATCAAAAATTGTGATTTATCACAGGTTGGATATCAGGAACAATTTGTGGAGATGCATTGAAATGGCAGTGGAGTCACCATCCCTACAGGTGTTCAAGAAACATGGAGGTCGAGCACTGAGGGACATGGTTATTGGGCATGGTGGGGATGGGTTGTGGTTGGACTTGGTGATCTTAGAGGATTTTACCAACCTTAATGATCCAGTAATTCTGTGATCTAACTTTGAACTAAATCCAATTTATTTTCTAGATTGCACAGTTGTTGTGCTAACAAAGCACAGTCCCTGTGCTCACCACACAAACAACAAACTCAACAGGTCAATTATTCAAGGTGTGACAGCATCATCCAGGTGGCATGTCCTGGCATATAGCCCTACTACCCATGCAATTTTTACCAAGAAGGCAAATAAAGTTCTTCAATAGAAAGACAAGGGTAAACTTTGTATTCTTGGAAATATTTCCCAAGTATTATTTGGGCAGTAATTATTAGGGAGAATTTTTAAGTTGTTGATAAATTCATAAGTGGGTTATGGTGGCGTGAAAATAAAAGTACATGATACTCATGCCTGACCCACACATTGCAGTTCAGGTGTTTCTGGTATAATTGCTGCTGTACATGATTCCACAGACTTCAAACATGATTGAAGACAAGAAGAGATCCAAATTAATTAAAGACTTCCTACTCTACATGAAAAGGGTGGATCAGGGGAAGTCAAGGTGAGGGTGCCTCTGTTTTTCATAACACAGTTACATTAATGTAACAACTGGAGAGATGCTGTGTTTATGCTACTACTTCAAAACATTTTTTCCATGACCTTCCATCAAGGGCAGAGCATGAAAAAGGCAGTTAGTGTTTGGTTCTCAGAAAATAGGAATAGTCTTAGCTCACTGCTGATGAAAGATTTGCTCTACAGTTCATTGACTGTATTCCTTGAAGCAGTATTTGCTTTCACAAAAGCAAGTGCAAAGACACCGTAAGTACTGGATAGTACTGGATTCTCCGATGTTCAGCACTTCATCTCATTAGCAAGACAGCAGAGCGATGACTCTCTATGGCCCGAATCTCACTCCCATTTGCTGTGACATAACACCAAGTTCTCAAGTAGCCATGCAGCACAGAAAGGCTTTGTTGTGACCAGGATCCAGACTGCTGTGTATCCGCTCAGACCACATTTCCAAATAAGAAAATATAACTGTCTGTTAAAATAAGCCAGCAGCTTTCTTCATTAACTTCCCCTTTTGATTTTATTCACAGACACTGCAAATGGGCATCAAGCATTTTTCTGGGCTCTTTGTGATGTTGTGCATTGGGTTTGTTCTATCCATTCTTACTACCATTGGGGAGCACATAGTGTACAGACTGGTGCTACCACGATTCAAGAAGAAATCCAAGATGAAGTACTGGCTCCATACAAGCCAGGTAAGAATTCAGCAGTGACCCCATGAAAGTCATGCTGGAAAAAAGCAGTGTATAAAAGGTTGTAAGAAGAGCAGTGATGAATGACATCGGAAGGATGGCAGCAGCTACTGGAAATTGAAGAGGCTCACTTAAGGGTGAAATCAGAAGTATATAGGAGTTGCTAGAATTATTCGCAATTCACAGAATTCTCCATTTGCCCTTTTAACCTTACCTTTTTTTGGACACCCAAAACAATACTGTTATCCTAGTCTGAAAGATTTTATTGTACTACAGCAGGTCCCAAATTTTGATGTGTGCAGGAGGTGCTGGCTGGTTTATGCCATTATTCTAAGGAATATAATAGAAGAAAATTGCTCTAGGTGTTTGCTGTAAAGGAAGAGGTTACGTTGCAGAAAAAGGCAAAATAAGACTTTCTATTGCTTTCAAGCAGTACAGTGAAAAGAGCTTCTTTAGAAAATAACACCGTTTCCTAAGACTTTTCTTCAGAATAATTATAACTCCAAGGATTGTTTGCCAACTATCTATCCACCTTTCAGAGTAACCTTTCTCAGGAAACCATGGGAAAAATAGATTGTTGTAATGACAAAGCACAGACATTGCTTGTATCCTTGAAAATGCAAAATAATTTATGCTTAAGTCCATCACACAAAGCCCAAATTGCTTATGTATTTATGGAGCTATTTTTAATCTTGCTTTTAGTAATTTATTTCTTTTCCCTCTAGAGATTACATCGTGCCCTGAACAGTTCATTTATTGAGGACAAACGCCAGACTAAAACAAAACGAGCAGAAAAGAGGTAGGAATTTTTGAATGCCTTTAAAACAAACTATAGAAATTACTGTGATATGAAGTACTCTCTGCCAGAATATCTATTTATGGATCTAATACACATCAAATATAAGAACAACAACAACAAATAGAAATAATGACATGACAAAGAAGCGAAGCAAAAATGAGCAGTTTCCAACAAAAAGCATTAAATCTAGAAATCTTGTTCTTTCACGATTTCCTTAATAGAATAAAAGCACTCTGTTCAGAGCACAGGCTTTTCAGATTTTTAGGTCTGTTGCTGTTGGTTTTCTTCAGATAAGAACCAGGAGATGAATATGCCCTGTGCAATAGCTTCACAGTGAATGCCAGACAGGTGGTACACATGTTTAAAAAACTTTCAACTTTATTATTTTTCAGAATAAGTACTAAAAAATCCGGAAAAAATGCAGTCCTTTCAAAAGCCTTTGTCTTAACTCTTGTTACTGAAAAAGTAGGCGACAGACTTGCCTTGTGTTCATAGCTTGTGTGCTGTGAAGAGCAGACAGTCTCTCAGCAGACTTACCTATTGCAATAAGGACCACAAGGCATTCTCTTAAAACTAAACATTTGCCCTGGAACTCAGAGCCATCGGTGCACTTTTTAAAGACACTGGCATCAGTAATTGGTTTTCTGCAGATGGGTAGAGACAGAATCCAGAAAAGAAAAGTCTTCCTGGCTGCTGCTGTGTGTTTGGTATGACTGAAACGCCACATAACGTCACTCTGGCCAGAACACATAAATGTACATTTTGTTCAATTCGTTACTGCAGTGCCAGTGTCAGCAGATATAAGAAGAAACATGTACAAGCTTCTAGACTGAACTAGATCGTCTGTTTGTATCTTGGATGATTAAAAAAATGATGGGCTAAACTATTTGCCACATACTGAGCAGTGCAGAAATTTTGCAGGTGATGTCCAAAAGCCCTACAGAGAACAGCTCTGGGAAAGAATTGCACAAGTATTCTTTCATCATTCAGACTGAGCATGTGCTGCTGCCCCAGAAACTCTGCTTGCACAGCACCCAGCCCATGTGTGTTTCTGCATGGTAGTCTGAGTGTGGTCTGAGCTGCCATTTGCACAGAATTGTGGTGAGTTTAACTCAAAACACCTAGTAATGCGTAGTAGCTTGTAATCAACACTTACACAGCAAGATGCAACCCAGAGGTTTCAGATCAATTGCATTATTACACTTCATGTTGCTCCTGCTGAGGATTGTGTAGTTACTACAAGCAGCAAGATACAGAAAAGAGGTGGAAAAAAATTGTATTATGGGACTTATGTTTACCTCAAGAGAGGGTAACTACTCAGAGGGGAAACTACTCAGGTTGCAACTCTTTCCAGAACTCCTTAAAGTCTGTTTTGAGAGAGAACTTGTCAGCCTCAGTAGCTGAACTCTAAAGGTTTTCATTTGCTTGTTGATAGCCAAGTGCTAATTTTGGTTTGGGGCCTTTGTCAGAACCAGCTCACCAGACCAGCCAGCCACAAGCAGCAGGAGCTATGGCAGTAACTAATGCTTTATCAAAGAGCTTCAATTTGTGAAAGAAAAATACATCAGAAATGACAGTGATAATAACTCACACTGGGAAGCTCATGTTGCTGTGCTGCAAGGTTATTAAGCCAGGTCCATTCCTTCAAAGCACAAGGAGCTTTCAACAAGAAATCAACATGTTTTCCCCTTTGTCTCTGCACACCAACTCGAGGCACCCCCTTCCCCCTCCATGAGAACAAATTACAGCACCTTAATGGTGTAACAAACTTTGGATATTGCATCCACGAAGCTTTCGGAGAGCTCTGGAGGCAGGCTTAAGTCTTCCTATGCTGGAGCTGAGAGTACTGCAATTCAACAACTAAAAAAAAAAATGTTGGGGGAACTTGAATTTTAGGATTCAAGTCTCAGCTGCAGCTTACCATAAGCATTTGGCTATCTGTGTTCATAAACTGTGCTTTCGAGTAATAATAATTAAAGAAATAATACATACAATTGATAACAGAAGCATCATATTTCTCCAGTGGGATGGATCACAGGGAAGAGATGCATACACATAAGAGGAGGCTCTGATTTTGTACTAACTCTCACACTTCTCTGTTCAGGTCCCACGTAGGGAACAGCCAGCATGCCGTGTGGAATACAGCCAACACAGGCAACTGTCACCGGAAAAAGTACATCTGCACTGATGAAGGGCAAAACGAGGTGACAGTCCGACAGCACCAAGACATTCCTCTGCCACAGGTGAGGAGGGAGACTCTGGCTTCTTTAACGACCAACGGAAAAGCAGAGTCCCTCAGTATTGCTAGGACCTCAGTGATGCAAGAGCTCACGGAGCTGGAGAAGCAGATCCAAATTATCAAGCAAGAGCTGCAACTCGCCATGGACCGGAAATCAGAGCTGGAAGAATATCAGAGGACAAACAGGACTGCAGAGCCCTAGGCCAGCACACTTGGCCCCTTTCCCCTGTCCTTCCTAACACCCCTTCTCTGTAAAATTTGTAACTTGCTTTTGTAATGCCAGAAAGAGGCATGAAAATAAAGCAGGCAATATGCTCTTCATGAGAGCAGAGTTGCAGCAGCCCACAGCCACTGCCACCATCCTGAGTCCTCCTCCTTTCATAGCAAGTTTCTCGTTCTCGTGGCCAACACCTGCCATTCCCAAGGGACTAGAGAAACAAAAAGTGTCTGAAAAGCAAGAGTCCCTGATTCCTTCACTTGTCACTACAGTGAAGTTTCCTCTCTTTTAGCCCTTTTTGTGCATTAATTCAAAAGGAAACAAAAAAAGAAAAAAAAAAAAAAAAGAAAAAAATGAAAAGAGAAAAAAAAAACAGAAGGAAATCTAAACTGCTCATTGGAAGCATGTCCCTTGTTCATATGTTTTTGTTGTGGTACCTATGGGTTTAGTCTCTGTTTATGCTAAGGCTCCTTATGGTTGCCTCATTACACCAGGTGCTAGTTCTGTGTTGGCAACCCCTTCCCTCCTGGCACAGGCTGTGGTTCACGAGACATATTCTTGGTGGTAGTCCCAGTACGCAGCGTTCCCTTAGCTCCTCAGCACAAACGCAGACGTGGCTGTTCTGTGACTGTAAGAAAGAAACTTCACCAGCTTAAAAATAACTTTGCATAAACCAAACCGTCACCTCTGTCTGTGTCTGAGCCCAGGTTCACTTTGCACGTCCACACAGAGAGAAGCCATGCAAACAGCTGCACTGGCGAGTGTGAGGGATTGGGTTCACAGTGGCACAGGGTAAGGATGAGAGAGGAAGGGAGGGGGTAGCTGTGCTGCACACCACTACCTGTGCCCTCTGCTGAAGGTTTACCACTGTGAAACCACTCCCTTAATATTCTCTGTCTACAGCAGACATTAAGGTTCTTCCTTACAGTCAAAACGACATAAAGGGGATTTATTCTGACACCAAACTCCCACCCAAGTAGGAGGGAGCTTGGCACCAAAGCGTCCTTGTGGACCAGGGCTCACAGTAATGGAAAATGAGATTTGCTGTTTCAAAGACAATGTACTGAGTGGAGCTCCCTCCCACCTGAATGATAAGTAAAGGGGAAGGAAGGGTAAGCTGTTCAGCATTTGAATAAATAATACATCAATCCAAATGACTGTGTTATGTATACAGGATTTCTGTGAACTGTTAATCACTTCCCAACACATCGTGTGTTGCAGAGAAAAAGAATGCCTTAACATTGTCAGAATTATCAGTTCTATCCAAGATATGTCACTGAGGTCATCTTTTCCCTCTTTGTATCTCCAGCCAACCGTGTGAATGTTGCCAAGGGTGATGTTCTCAGTAGGCATGGTTAAAGGCTACAGCTAGATCTGAAACTGCATTCTAGGGTTTGAATAAAGCATACTACCTTTCTGCACCTTTAACATTTGAAAAGCAGTTGTTAATGAAAGCTCTATATGGACAACTAAAAGCTGGCAGCAGCAACGTGCACAGCAGTTAGCCCCATCAAAACAAGTTCATCCCTGCTCAGTCTTTGCCTTCTGCTTTTGAGAATTAAGTCTGGCTGCTTCCTTCAGTGCAGCCAGTTTCTCAGAAAATTGTGGATTTGAACAGAAAACAGCAAAATGGGGCAGGGGACCTGCACCACCAGAGAGGTCTGAAAGACTCCGGTGCCTCGTCTTCCCTGCTCCTAACAAAATATATGACTGGTCAAGTCATGTTGTATTTATTGCCTTTCCTTAGCTTTACCCACCTGACTCATTTAGATTCTCAGCTAATTTGGAAGAGCTTTTTATGTGAATAGCACCCAGTCTCTTCCAATCTCTAACATAATTTGGTTAGAACAGGAAAACACTTAAAAAAAAAAAATTATTATTAGACAAATAGTAGGAAATAAGTATTCTAAGCCAATTCCAACCTTAACAGGTTTTTCTACTTCTGTATCTCTGCATGTGTGAGTTCAGGAAAAGACCATCAAATTCAGTTTTAAAAAAGGTGAAACTAAAAAAGCTAATAAGCTAATAGCATCTTAAACAAAAATGTACATGTTCTGTTTCAAAGTTCCAACCCAAACATCTAATCTTTCAAAAAATTACTCTTCCTTTAAAGACAGAAGTGTGAGTGAAGAAATGTCAGCCACCTAATAATGGTAAACAAAAATCTCTTTCTGGTGGGTGCCCAAAGGGCTATCCTATGGCAAACACAGAATAGGGATTATTGCAAATTATTGCAGTAGAAACCAGAGGCCTTTAGGGAAGGGTCAAAGTTCTCACCGCACAGAGACATGCTTTGGCTACAGACAGCACTAAGTATTTCCTCTAAACAAAAATGTTCTGTAGCATTATCAAAATGGTTTGGAACAGTCAGACAGTCACTCAAAGCTGAAAGCTTCCTTACAATTCAAGGTGAAATTAAGGTATGTGGATTCCCTCTTATTAAAAAGTTAACCTGAGTTACACACACAAAAAGGAAACACTTTAAGGTTCTTGCAACTTTTCACCAGACTATAAATGCATACAGGGAAGAACGTGTAAAAAAAAAATACAAGATAGAAGGATTCAGAGAACATCAGATCTTCCATATCTTATCATTTGTCCAGTCTTGAGTCTTGCCAACTCTACCAAGAGAAGAAACCAGGAATAAAAACAAAGTAACAACAAAAAAGGATTTTCTCCAGTCAGGTCTATAGTTCCAGAACCACATTAATGGCCTTGTTGTGTAAGTTTAGGTTGGATATCAGGAAACACTTCTTTATAGAAAGGGTTGTTAAGCACTGGAATAGGCTCCCCAGGGAGGTGGTTGAGTCACCATTCCTACATGTGTTAAAAAACTATTTGGATGTGGTGCTCAGCGACATGATTTAGTAGTATGGTTAGGTCACGGATGGACTCCATAATGTTTGGGGTCTTTTGCAACCTGAGTGATTCAGTGATTCTGTAATCTATTCAGAGAGGGAGACGAATCCAGCCTGATTCTGCCTGGAAGTTTGGAGATTGCCATGTGAAAAGGCTGCAGAGATCTGTCCTGCCTATATATTTTTTGGGTCCAAGGTAAATTCTTCCCTCCTCAGATCATGGCAGATTGTCTTCCTCAGGGGCTTCATTCTGTTTGGATTCTACAAAACCCTACGCACATTTATAAAGGCAACAGGAAGAAGCCAAAAAAGGCATTACTTACCAGATGGCAGTCAGTAGATTGGAATCGGAGTGCTACCCTTAGAACCAGCTTCATTTTAAAGAAAAGGTGGGCAAGAGGTTTATAGGACAGTTCACACGCTTTTTGAGCTTCACTACCTCACAAGCAGGGCATAACCTGAATTCAGAGTTTAGAAGAACAGATGGTGTCTCAATCAAGAAAAAAACACGATAATGATCTTCCTGCCTAACACAAGGTCAAGCTTGTGATATAAGTAGCTCATGGGCGAGTCCTGAGACTTTTACACCACGTGTAAGATGCGGAGCAAGAAGGAAAATCCAAGGAAATTTCCAGACTCCACAGGTTTCCTTCTTTCTGACCCATCTGCTTTCTGGGATGGTTGTTCTGTTCTTCGTTGTTGGTGTAGCTTTGATTTTATAAATAGTAATACTTTCAGGTCATCAATCCGTACTGGTTTGTTTTGCCTATGACAAACAATTGTCACCTTTATAGGTTGGCTCTTCATAACCACGCTCTTCAGAAATCATATTCCGAGTTCCTCTAAAAACACCCCTTTATACACACACACCCTGACATGTGTACGTGCACACAGCACCTCTTGGTAGTGCTTGAAATGTTTTTTTTTTTTTTCATTTATACTTGACTATCACAGTCACTGAATTTAAATGGTTTTCTCTATAGAACATTTGCCTCCTTTCCCTTACTTTTCACCAAAATATTTTTAGTTCTGATAAACTTTAAAGTAATTTTCATTCATTTTGGAAGTCAAAGCACTATGTCTTTCACCATTTCTCAGTGTTTAAATTCTGATCCTGAAAATATAATCACTTCCACAGTAATAAGATTAAACACTGCTATTATCTTAAAATAAGAAAATATTTTTACCTTGGGAAAGAATGAGAAAAAAAAGCAAACCTTATCTGTGAACCAAGTCAAGACTGCTTCAGGTGTTTGGTTACTACAGTGCCTGGAGTGAACCTGCACTATTAGCATATGCACAAAAGTTCAGGCTTGACTTTCAGTAGAAATGCAGAGCAACTTTGTGAGTGGATGGTGGTAAAGGACTAGGGACACCATAAAGGCTGTGCTGTTTTCTGCAACTGTGAAAAAACACGCTGTTACTGCAAAGCTGATCAAAGACACAGGCAACATTTGCTGGTGAGTCAGGTCCTGCTTCGGTGAGCAAGTATGTGTACCACAAAACATGTAACATGAGCATTAGCATTCCAAACACATGCTCTTATTTCTCTGACACAAATCACGAACTGTAATCCAGATAGCAACTTAACAGAAGTGAAAAAGGCTTGGTTTCATTCCTCCTGCACAGGCTGAGACAGCACAGAAGCCTTACCACAGGTTGAGCTCCCAGCCTTTTCTCGCACTGTGCTCCTTCTGAATTTTCAGGACTTATAGTTAATTTACACAGTTCACAAATTTTCAGTCATTTATGTGTTTTCGGAAGGGTAGAAATAGTCCTGCACACTACAAGGCACTGTGTGATTAATTACTTTCACTTCTGGTTTTGTTTTCTTAAAGTGAATATAGGAAAACAATTCAGATTTTTGGTTTAGGGAAGGCACTTGGACAAGGCAACTCTCTGAGAGTTTCATCTTACAAGTAAATGAAGTTTACAGGAAAAACTCCATCTTATGGAAGAATGTTTCAAATGACTTAGCTTTTCATATTTAGGGGCAGACTTCAAACACAGCTTTGCAGCACAGGTAGTACAGAGACTACAATGTATGCCACGTCCTTTCACGAGACTACTGTCAGCTATGACAGAATGGCTGCACAAACAAGCCAGCATTTTGGTCCTACTGTTACGTCAGGAATAAGGTGATTAAGGTACAGCCAAAATGACAGAGGTTGTTCTAGTTAACTTTTTTTGAAGACTGAAAAGAAATTCATCCCTACTTTAGAAACTTAAAGCCTGGAAAAAACATTTCCATTAATTGGACAAAGACAGAAACATAGCTAGAT